TGTATGGAAAAACACAGAAGAATAATATAGAAAAGGAAACCCATGCGTAAGAGACATGGATGAAAAATGAAAATAGTGTATAGGAAAACACACGAGAATATAAATATATAAAATTTGAATTTGAGAGAATTTGAAGAAGGAGACAAGGTATATCTGAGAGACTTAAGTAGCAAAACAGGTCTTTCAAAGAAGTTACAGAAAAAAATGGTACTATCCATACCATTTCAAATTAGAGAAAAAGTTGGACCAGTGACGTATGCAGTAAGTACAAAAAAGGGAAAAAATAGACAGGTAGTGTACGTCAATAGGTTAAAGAAATATTACGAGAATAAAACAAGTGATTATTCCACGGAGGAGGAAGAAGAAATACGAGAATCCAAAAGAAAAGAAGAAACGAAAGAAGAAGGAGTTGACCCTTCTAAGGTGGCAACACTGCCATTATGGGGACCAGGAACTCAAATTAACAAACGAATAATAAATAAGAACGAGACAGCAAAAATAACACAGAGCGATGAGGACACAGACATGTTTTTCGACGCAATAGATGAATAGCGAAAAATATCAAAACAACTATAAGAAAAGTTGAAAGCTTGGTATTACAAGAGACGGCCGCTCAAATAATACTAAAATTTTAACAAGGAACGAAGTACAAAACACAGGTAATATAAGCATTCATAGTTAAATATTAGCACAGTTCAATGAAAATATTTTTTTTGAAAACATAATAGTAGATCATAACTAAAAGCAAGTTTTAAGAACGAGAAATAAGTAAATTAATTTAAAGTTTATAGGGGTCTAAGCTGCTGTTGATTAGTAAGAGCTGGATCGGTAAGATACCATACGCCAATCCTTTATTGCTATATCAAAACTGATTGACAGACTTTAATTCCTATCAACTAAGAAAGTAGTATAAAGATTGAGTCAGACCACTGGTAAATAAACAACTAATAAAGGTCAAATTTAAAAAACGTAACAATTAATTAAAAAAAAAATAAATATTGTAGTTACAGACACCAAGAGTTCATTATATCAGTCAGTATCAAATTTCATCAACAATGTGAGTATATAAAAATTCAGGCCTCAGCAAAACATAGTTTAATAGCCTTGAAACATAAATATCATAACACTGAAAACAAGTCATTGTGTTGACGAGAAATCAAAATAAATTTCACCTTTGAATTATTTTAAAAAGATTTGGAAAAGAGTGAGAAATTATTACAATACTTTCTGACTCTTTATTAAGAATAAATATAGTAATTAAAATATTCTTCAAATAAGGAAAATTCGTTACACATACGTAACTATAAACAATAAGTGATGACAAGTTGAGAATTGAAAATATATGACTCTAATATACAGGGTGTATATATAACAGAAAGATGATATATTAAATTGTAAATATTTAAAAAGTACAAGTCCCAATTATTAACATATTAATATTGGTTTAGATATCAATTTATTTATCAGTTTATAGGCAATAGGCATACTAATATGCAATACACTGTAGGTTAGTTTATAAGTCAGATTATGTAAAGCTATCGATAAAATTGTCTGCAATAAGCAGCTATACATGTATTTATAGGTTAAGGTGCATTTGAATTACGCGTAAAAAGTACTAATGCGAACTAAAGTCTGCTTACGGGAGTGCGACCGTTCGGGAAGTAATAACAGTGCGATTTGTGACACTGGAGAGACTCATCACGATGGAGAGACTCATGTTTCACTGTTTGATGTACAACCACACGTCCATAGTCAATGGAGGACTAGACAGCTACATCAAGAAGATGGGAGCAGAAGAATGCTGAAATATACACCGCTACCGATCGATACAACTCTACGAGAAGGAGTAACATGCTCATTCATCAACGGCTATTGCTTCGACTCTACAATAGGCTAAATAACCTGGGAACAATACAAAGACAACAGTTGCGAGAGTCAATTGTCACAACTTTACAGAAGGCACGTTGAAAAGATCACTAATAAACAATCACTAGAAGAATTGGTACTAGTAGAACAAGATAAAAACATATTTGCTCTAATGCTACACAAAAGGGCTATAATATGTAACACCGAAGTATGGCAAACTGAACACCCCGAATCCTAATAAATTTCCTAGTAAACAACAAAATAAATCCTAGTATGCCACTCCTACCCCAAAACGTAGACCTAATGACCTACATCACTAGCAAATTCCTTTACACCGAACAATCCTACCAAAGAGAAACAGAAAAGTTATACTCAGACACAGTACTACGACGATGCCAAACAAAGAGATGCAGCAAACACATACCAGAGACCAATGTAGCAGAAGTATAATGCGACAAAGCAAAGCAGTAGCAACCTGAGACGACCACCCAGCAAGGACAAACCAATGGAGGCAGACAGCAGCAGTAACGCATCAATATAGTTAACTCGACACGTGGAATTGGCAAACGGACATTAAAACAGCCAAGACGTCGCGAGTGAAGTGCGGACAATTCCCTCAGGGATACGCGATAAAGTGAACGCAAAACGCGAGTACAGTCGTATAGAACAGTTAGAATACGCTTGTCGTAATGGACACATGTAATCACAAACAATTGTAATAAGTTAGGAAAGTCTTTCACTTGTTAAGTTTCAATAAGATTAATACAAGATTAACTCAACTTGTCATACACATAGGTTCAATACGGGGGCAGCACGATACATTCGCTGACCACGGTACAATAGTCTATAAGAAACAGTAAATGATAAAATATAAATTGGGACTTATATAAAAAATATATATAGTAGATTATAAGTAATATAATATGTAAATAGATAAATTTATTGTTGGAAAAGGAAAAGGCCCCTCGGCCCTTTTCTTTTTTTGCGTAGGGAGTAATGTAATGTAAGCGTAGCAAGTGAGTGAGAAGTTGGAATAAAGGGATAATGGAACAATAAGTAGCATAGAAAAGATAATAATTATTCGAGATAATTATTATATATTCCAAATTAAATAAGGGATAATTAATACAGTTAACTTATACATTTAAATTATACAAAGTATAACAATTGACCTAGTTATGGCATTGTTTGATAATTGTTTAAACGTATAAAAAGCACGAAACTATTAACAACAACAGCCGTGACCCAAATAGGCGCATAACGCCAAAACTGCAACTCAGCGAACCTACGACCTTGGTACTAGAACCGGCGTTGAAAGTACGACCACAATAAAACAAGAAAAAACGACGGACGCCAGACAGTCGACAGTCAGTAGTCAGTCAATCAGTAGTGATAACGGGGGCGCCGTAACTGCCCGCCCAGGGCAGTGATCGCCGGACGCGATAGCGTCCAGTAAGCGAGACAGTCGGTGATTTTCCGGGGGCCGGGTATCTTCTGTCAGAATTCGCGTGTAGTCCGGTTATTGTGGCAGCTCGAAAGTTCGCAACCCTCAACTGACCTAGTTCCAGAAGACTGAACGTGTCGTGGTTGAAGCCCTAATATACACATAAGGTAACAGATTTTTTATACTAACCTGTGTAATTATATTAGTACCTCTGTCAACTTTTCACTATCTTGCTACATCGTCTCCCGACGCGCAGAATAACGTGTTAACGATTGTATTAGGAACTTCAGGGTAGATTCAATATATTGTTGACTCTAATTTGGTTTTTTTTTAATGTTCCTTTCGTCCGACTCACTAGAGACTAGGAGAACACGAGATTCTGCGTATACATATCTCCGGCTTCAAAAGTAAGCCCATAACCTCTACTCTTTACAGGACCTGAGACCGAGGAGTCCTTACCCCTATCCCGAAATCCCTTATCTTCTCGTAAATCCACGAAGACGAGCCAGCCCTCCAGACCAGTGTGACCAGTATTCCTTGCAGCCGCTCGCAGGGTTAGCATCCCTTGAGGATCTATTGTGTATTTCATTTGGTGACAGCGTTTCCATTACCCTCATATAACGCTCTCATTATTATTCTTTTACAGTATTTTTTAAGTTGCTGGTATAATTCTTCCGCTGATATATTTTCTCGATTCACATTAATGGGTTTTGTTTCGACAATTATTCTTCCATGGGGTATTTGTAACCTATAAGACGAGGCTCTGAAGATGGCATGCCAAAGTACTCAGCAGATTTTAATAAAAAAATTTACACTATCAAGTTTTTTGAGAACATACACATGTTGCCAGTTTGACCTGAAATTTCAATTCCAGTTTCAATGTCCGTTGCTCTTCTCGTTGTCTTCTTAATCCTCTCATATTCCGAGGCAAGTTATCGAAATTTTTAGTATATTTAAACCATTTTTCGAATGTCAAGTTGCTAATACGTCAACGAATCCTCATACTGGAAAGATCAGAATTTTTCATCAGGGTTTTCCCCTAACCGACCTGATTTTAGACCCCAAAAACTCTTTTTTATACTCTCTACTTTAATTACTATTTATAACTGGGAATAAGCCACAATTAAAGATAAAAATACGTTTATTGACGTTTTAATTTCCAATTCGGAAATCGTTCTCAAAATACAAACAGTAAATTTACTGTTTGTATTTTGAGAACGATTTCCGAATTGGAAATTGAAACGTCAATAAACGTATTTTTATCTTTAATTGTGGCTTATTCCCAGTTATAAATAGTAATTAATTTACAATGCCACAAGAAAATAGCTTCAGAACAATACTCTCTACTTTGTTGTATAACGCACTCCCATTGTACGCCTTACATCCAGTGGTTACGGGAAATGTGTCTTCGAGGACGATAGAGTAGGATATTTCTTAGAATTTTATTACAGTGTGAGGGACGACACCTCACTCTGTCTCCGAGGTCCTTTACCAGCTTCCATCCACCACCATAAAACAGTGAACGTACCATTACAAATTACCTAGCGACAAAGCCTACATTCCGTTACAGGTCTTCGATTAGTTAAGATGTATGCAAATTAAATTTTAATAACTTCATCCCTTTGAGTGTTACCTTTATAATTCCTACTGTAGTTGAATATATTATTTTTAATAGAAATTCCCATTTTAGGTTTACGTAAAAGATGCTGAAGGCAGGGTTCATTCAGAAAGTCAACCATTTTCCTTAGATGGGACAGAATTATCGTTTGGAATATTACCGAAATTGGCTCTTATGACTAATGCTAGTCTAGTAGTAAGTTGTTTAAGTAAAATATATGCATTTTTCTACAATTTTTCTTAAGTTTGGTTTTTGAGATTTTTTATATTGTAGAATACATCAATCTAGTCTATGAATACTATTTTTTTTTTTTATTAGAACGCATTAGTTTTGCTCAATTTGGCAATCATTATCTGTATCAGTCAATAAATGCCGCGTTTTTCCACCTTATAATTTGATGCTACATGAAATCGATGATCATTTTTTTATTCTGTAACTCATTGTTTGCTTCCTGTATATATGAAAATGTATATGCGTAAAAATATTATTTAATTTTTGTTAGGTTTTAGCTTGTTTAGTATGTGGAATTGTACAAAATCAGATAAAATTCGATAAGAAAAACAGACTTGGAATATTAAAATTTAAACTTTGGTATTAGAGAGAATAATAAACCACTGCCAAGTTAGCGTTTCTTATGCACACCGCTTTGTAGGCATACAATTTATTATATTAATTATTAAATTTACGACTTATGTGTACTAAAACTACAGAATTAATTAATAAACTGGATATACTATATTATCTCAGCTAAGCCCTAAGTTAAATTTGTCACGTGACATTGCCACTTTTACAAACGCATTGCCTCACTTCTCGGACCACAGCGAATCCAAATCTATACCGTTAGCACCCATGGCTCCTCCCTCGTACATATATTATAGCTGTAAATGCTTCTAACTCTTCTATTGTTACAGACCATTGGGATTGATTAGCAGACCATCATTTCTAAGAACTTAGTATGTACCTACAGTTTTAAAACTATGCTTTAGTAAATGTTATGGTGGTTTTATGAAAACCTGGGAAATAATAAGTCTTCTTCTTCTTCGTAGCCATTCACGTCCACATCTGAACATAAGCGTCTTCAAGTCTTCCTTTCCATTGTTTTTTATTATACGCTACTTGTAGCCAATTTTTCCCGGCAGTCCTTTTCAGATCATCTGTCCATCTCATAGGAGATCTGCCTCTGGGTCTTTTGTGTTGGTATGGTCTCCAGGTTTAAATTGATCTGTGCCATTTGTTTAGATCGCTCCTAGCTACATGTCCAGCGTATTCCCATTTCAACTTTAATGATTTTTGCACCACATCGGTGACTTTGGTTTTCTGTCTTATCCATGTGTTTGTTTTCTTGTCCTTAAGTGATATACCTAGCATTGCTCTTTCCATCGCGTGTTGAGTGACTTTAAGTATATTCATATTCTTTTTTGTGATTGTCCATGTTTGTACCGCATATATTAATATCGGAATAATGAATTTGAATTTGTTGATTTCTGAGTATATAGTTCAGTTTACCGAATGCTGCCCAAGCTGACTTTCTTCTTCTTTTTATTTCTTCATTTTGAATTTCCCTATTTAGTATTAGTTTTTGTCCTAAGTATATATATTCTTCAACTTTTTCTATAACTTTATCGTTTATTATTGTCACGATGTCTTCGGAGTGCATGACTTTTGTTTTGTTTAAATTCATTTTCAATCCTATTTTAGAAGATTCGGTATGTAGTTCTAAAAGCATGGTTTTCATTTCTTGTAGGTCAGTAGCTATCAGGATTATGTCATCTGCAAATCGTAGATTACTGAGTTAGCGGCCATTGATGTTTATTCCCTTATATTTCCAATTTAGGTTTTTAAAAACGTCCTCCAAAATTAAGGTGAACAGTTTGGGTGATAAAGTATCTGCCTGTTTGACTCCCCTGTTTAATGGTACAGGGTTCGTGTGTTCATTTTCATTTAGGTAGTATGTAGCTGTAGCTTGGTTCATAGTTTCTTTTATTAAGTTAATATATCTGCTGTCTATTCTACAATTTTGCATTGCGTTTATTACGGCCGTGTGTTCTATGGTATCGAAAGAAGTAATAAGTATGTGGAACTAAATTTAGTAATATCGTAGGAATATCGGTAAAAACATTACATACCATAGAGAAAGAGTTAAAAGATTGTGATTTACCAAGAATGACCATTGATGAGTGATTGACTGAAAGGCTTTGTTCACTGAGAAAACGAGAGTTAGCTTAAAACATCCTGATGGAGGTATGTGTGGTAAGGGACAGGAGAAAGATTTGCAAGTTGGAACATTTGTACAAGAGTCTAGTTGTGGAGTTGGTGGTTCTACGCACTGTAATTTTTTCGTTAGTTTAAAAATTCTTTGATCTATTAGACATATTTTAGAAATATATGTTACTTTCTGTTTTCTGTTTGTAGCTAATTTTATAATACAATATTTTTGAGAAATAGTAAAGAAATATTTTAATGTTTTTTAAATGTTTTATCATAACGTTTACTTTATTTTTTTAGTTTAAACTATTTTTCTTCGTGATCTTGTTCCTGACTACTTTGCCTATTTTTGTGATTAAATACATACATTTTCTGGTATCAGGTTAGTATATTTTGATAATATAAACGCGTTCTCGTTGAAATACACCAATACATAAAAAATAACTCTGCTAGAAACTTTTTATCCCCTTACAAATATTTGATGGAAGTATATTGAATACTTTCCCACAACATAGTTACTTTGGTAAGTGTGCCAAGATATAAAAGAATTTCTGGTAACAAAATTGCTATTTTCCATAGTCTGGCCAAAGAAGAGGCTAAGGAATCGCATAGGGGAGAATGGCCGAAAATGAGAAAAAGGATTTGATTTAGCCTAATAGAAAAATATTCTAGAACAATTTAACAGTCGGCTGATGGATGAGTAGTAACGAAATATGAAAAATATGAAGCTCGGTGAACGCTCAGTCATTGAACCATACTGGAAGGCGTAAAATGTTAGAAAGGCAGCTGCTACTAGGGGACTAGAAAGCATATTTATGTACAGATATCTATTAGTTGGCATCCACACCCCGTCCCTAACCAATCGAATGGTCCGAATATTAGAATAAGAAACTGTTGTTCTGTAAGCAAAGCATATCTTAAGTTGTCATCATCATCATTGGCTCCACAACCCATGGTGGGTCTTGTCCGGCTCAAGGATAAGTCTCCATTCTCTCCTATTCTTTGCCTTGCTTTTCCAGTTTCGTACTCCCAACATTCTCAAGTCTTCCTCCACCTGATCCTTAAATCGTGCTCTGGGCCTGCCTCTCCTTCTCACTCCATCTATTCTTTGGTTATAAATATGTTTTGGCGGCTCCATCTCATTCATTCTCTCTATGTGACCTAACCACCGCAGCCGGTTTATTTTGATGGACCTAATTATATCAGGTTTGTCATACAGGCGCTAAAGTTCGAAATTATAGCGTCTACGCCATAATCCGCCCTTCTGTACTCTATAGATATGCCGGAGGATTTTACGTTTAAAGCATCTTAAACGTTCTTCATCGTCCATGTTTCCGATGCATAGATGAGGATGGGCTTGATAATAGTTCTGTATATCACTAGTTCCGTTCTTTTTGTAACTAGGCTTGTTGTTAAAAATTTTATTAATTCATAATAGGGTCTATTTGCCAGATATATCTGTCCTTTAATTTCTGCACTTACTGCACTATTTTGATTAATTTGTGAGCCTAGGTATATATAGGCCTCTTACTCCTTCGAAAATATATGTTCCGATCGTCAGATCTTCGGGTTGTGCTGCTTGTATATAACTTGATACTTTCATATACTTCGTCTTACTAGTGGTAACCTCTAGTGCCATTCTTGTTGTTGCTGCTTCAAGCGCCTTGAATGATTCGACCACGTCCGCCTTTCTTCTTGCAATGACGATGTCATCGGTGTACGCTAGTAATTGTACTGAACACGAATATGGTACTGTCGATGGTCGTCGAGCTACCTGCTGCTCAAGGTGGACCTCGTAACCTGGAGTATGTTAATTTCACTCTAACTCAGTCGAAAATCATTACTCGGTGGTTTACCAGGTCGCTGAACAGGAATGTGATGACGATTTTCATCGAGTTTCAAATTCGTCTCCTGGAGTTTTGTGCTATTTTTATTTGAAATCAGTTGAAAGTCATTACTACGGAGTTCGCAAGGTCGCTGAACACCAATATTATGACGGCGATTGTTCTTGAGATACCTAGTAGAGGGTGGACATGGTCTCCTGGAGTTCCATGTTAATTGCATTCCAAATCAGTCGACAGTTATAACTCGGAAGTTGTTGTTAGCCCTGATGAAATGCCAGGTGATACACGACAAGTAATGGGCGGGACCTCCACTATAGCAGGTCCCGCCCATTACTTCCACATATGCCCGTATATACTTATTCGCTCACACGTACTAATGCACAGGTATCCTCCAATGTGCACTACAATCATTATGTGCTGGATTGTAGAGCTCTGGTCTCTTAGAAATTAACTCTCAGTGTAGTATCGTTGTTAGCTTATCTTTTTCAAATAAAAACGAAAATATAGCTAAATTTTTTATACTATAAATAAAAACACTACTTTTTTTCACATAACACGTGTTTTTAACGTACAAACGCTCAATTTTTGAATTAAACGCATGCAGTCGCTGCAGAGTACGTCTGTCATATGCAGTCGGTGCAGCAGACGCATGCTTTTCCTTGCGGCGGACGCATAAAACAGACCGATTGTATAAAGTTACCAATTGACGAGTGCACAGCGTGTCGCTTGCGACTGCACCTTTAGACGTGTTCAATTCCAATAAAACACTATTTCCAATATTTCTAAGTTCCAGTAAAAGCAAACGCTCCTCTCTGTGCTTTTTTTATCGTGAGTTGTAGCGTTATTTTTGAGATTCCCTGTGTAATTAGAATATCTATTATTTATACAAATAATACAAAATATTGGTAACTGATTACATTAATATTTTTAACATTTTTAGAAAATAATTTTACTTTCATTTTCTATCTTTGATTGTATATAGTGTAAAATAATTCATTAGTTTTTAATGATATTGTACAAATATCTGGAAAGGAGATCGATTATCCTGTAATCGGTATTATAACATATTAATACATTTTTAAACTTAAGACTTAAATTGTAAATAAGTAAAATTGAAACGCCTTGTTGAAGATCTTCTTTTTCCTTCTTGTATGTAAGCTTTAAAGCCTGTTTCTTCTTCAATATTAGCCTTCTAAATTGTTTAAAATACGTACCATCTTTTTCTTGGTCTGCCGATACTTCTTCGTCCATTTGGTGATTTATCTCATGCTATTCGTACTATCCTATCCTCTGTCATTATATTAATGTGTTTGTCCCACTCCTGTTTCCGTTTCTTCACTTATTCATTTATGTATTCTATATTGCATGCTCTTATGTTTTCGCTTCTCTCCGTATCCAGCAGACTTTTCCCTGTTATTCGTCGAAGTATTTTCATCTCTATTGTTTCTACTAGTCGTCTCGTTTTAGATGTATCAGGTCTTGTCTCTGCTGTGTTTGTTAATATAGGTCTAATTACTGCTTTATAGATTCTTGTTTTTGTGTCTTGTCTTAGGTATTTGTTCTTCCAGATTGTGTCATTAAGAGATCCCGCCGCTTTACTTGCTTTTAATCTTTGTTGTCGTACTTCTTCAACATCTCCGAAACTAGTTATATCTATTCCCAGATATCGAAACCTTGCTTCCTGCTTTATTATTTTCCCATCAATTTCGATTTTACATCGTAGTGGGTATTTAGATGTTGTCATAGATTTGGTTTTTTCTGTTGATATTATCATATTGTATTTCTTGGCTGTGAAGATGTGTGTTAATCTTTGGAGCTGGTGATCTGTCTCGGCGATTAATGCGGGGTCGTCTGCATAACATAATATTTGGATTTCTTTGTTCCCAATTCTGTAACCATGACCTTTGCTGCTTGTATTATTTCATCCATTACTATATTAAAGAGAAGTAGTCTTAACGAGTCACCCTGTGACTCCGCTTTGTACTGGTTTACACTGTGTTAGTTTTTCATTTATCTTGGCCTGTATTCGATTATGGAAGTAGATGTTTTCGATAGTTTGTATAATGTTGATTGGTATGTTTCTTTAATACGGTAAGTGTACGACGTCTTCGACTTAGATGCGATCGAAAGCCTTTGTCAGGTCTATAAAACATAGATATGCTGTTTTATTCTACTCAATTGGCTTTTCTGTGATTTGTCTTAGTACAAATACGGCGTCTACGCAGGATCTTCCGGACCTGAATCCTTATTGTTTTTCTGATAAAGTTGGTATTTTATTGATTTTGGTGATTAGGACTTTTGTGGTAAGCTTAAGTGTGGTGTTCAGTAGATTTATACCCCTATATCATCGGTATCATTATGCTGTTTGTTTATGCGTCTGGTATCTTGCAGTGCAATATTAGTTTTTGTATAAGTTTAACTTTCTCTAGGGTTATACTTTCTCCTCCGTGTTTTAGGAGCTCGTTGGTTATTCCGTCTGGTCCTGGTGACTTTCTATTTTTGAGTGAATTCAGGGCTATTTTTACTTCCTGAAAACTGATTTCTAATTAATGTCTTAATTCAGGTACGTTATTGTGTTGATAATTATTTTCCTTTCCTTGAAACAGTTCCGTCAGGTATCTTTCTCATTCGTTTGCTGGTATGTGATTGTATTACTTCAATTCTGACATTGCTTTCCGTTGGTTTCTTATGAATCTCCATATTTGTTTTTGTGACCCTTAGAAGTTGCTTTCCATCCTTATAAACTGTTCCCAGTGTTCATTTTTGTTCTTCTTACCAACTACTTTGTTTCGTTTCGTATTCTTCTATAGGTGTCTCGGAATTCTGGTGTATTTGATATTTTGTACTTCGTGTGGGCCTCTCGTTTCTCTTTTATTTCTTTTCTGAACCATCGTGTATTGTTTTTGTTTCTTTTATTCAGTATGACTTTGCGTTTTCCTAGAGCTTCTGTTGCTGCTTCTTCAATGTTGTTTTTAATTTTCTCCCAGCTCGCGTTTATATCTTCGATGTCGTCTATTCGTTTCAGCTGTAACTTCTGTGCTAGCCTCCTTTGGTACATTTCTTTTGTAGAGTCGTTCCACAGTGATTCTACATTGAATTTTTCCTCGATGATTTCCTGTAGAAAATGTTTTGGTGATATTTTCATTCCTGTTGTTTGGTGTTACTTTTATTCCAAACATTTAATGTTGGCTAGTACTAGTTTGTGTCCACTCCCTGCGTCTGCTTAGTTTAAAGTTAGGATATCTAGAATCTGCTTTGGGTGGATTTTTCTATTAGTGACTATAAAATCATTCATAGATTTGTGCTCCCTGGAGTTTTCAAATGTATATTTATACTGGGGCTTATGGTCGAAAAATGTATTATTGATTCTCAGTTCGTTAATAGCACAAAGAAAGCCATGATTTCTCCATTTGCGTTGATAAGGTTCTTGAACTCATAAGTGGAGAATAGAGCGTCAGTGAAAACCTTGGCCTTCCTTGGCCTCTTATCTCGTTCATGATGGATCTTCTCCAAGTTTGTACTGGGCGACCTCTTTTTCTTTTCCCTTGGGGATTCCACTCTAGGGCAGTCTTTGCGATACTGGAACTATTTTTTTGGAGTATGTGACCGATCCAACCCCACTTTCTGGACTTAATTACATTTTGTACCCTCTTTTGTTCTGTCAAGTGTAGCAGATCTTCGTTTCTGATGGTGTTTTGCGTTGACATAGTTTTTGGTAAATTTTTGTTTTGCTCCTGGAACTATGTCATTTCCGATTCGTGCAATAAAGTCACCCATAAGAATTAAGGGTTCTTCATGAGGTATTTCATCCAGGATGGTTTGCGATTATACGTAGGATTCCTCTTGTTCCTCCTTAGGTTTGCAGTCGTCGGGGCTACAGATAGATATGACATTTGATTTTTGGTAGTCCATTGTAATGTTCATATGTATTATTATTTCGGAGATATAACGGCAGTTATTTATGTTGTCTTTAAATTTTTATGGACAAGTATACCTACGTGTGCTCGTGCTCGTTCTTCTTCCTTCATTCCACTGTATGCTAGAAAATATTGGTTATAGTTTCTTTGGCCTTAACCATTCTTCTTGGTTTCTTGGATTGCACAAATGTCTATATTTTTATTTATCAATTATATTATCTCTTGGTCTTTGTTGTTGAAAGAAGTAATGTTCTATGTTGCTAATTTGATTTTTCCTGCTCGTTTTCCTTTTCTTTGCGTAGTTCGTTATCTTAGGTTCCGTAATCTGGTTCCGAGGCTTTATATCGGTTCTTTGCGCTTGATCTTCTTTTACAGTGGGTAGGATGCTAACCTGGCCTATCAACCCTCCTCTTTTATCCGGGTTGGGACCGGCTGTGGGCATGAACGCAACTTCTGAGCTACTTAATCCACCCAGTACTCGCGCTCATAACCCCCAATCAGGGGGAAGGATATAGGCGTAAATTGTATTACGATCACATGTATATAAACAACATAAGTTTTGCCAATAATGTTTGTTCTTACATTTGTTCTTATCTTATTGTATATAAATAACGAAAAATATTTGGTGTATTTCACCGATTTTTTACACAGTACCTACTCTATTGTTCGACAAATAAACTACATTTTTGTTTACTTTTAGCTGGAAGACTGGTCAAACCAAAGCCACGAAAATCGTGTTGGTTTAATTTGTTTAAGAAAATATGGATTCTCTCCACGGTGGATAGGATCTTTTGGCCTATCGTTGTATACCCCATTTACTTAGCTGTCGGACCTTGGACAGTAGGATATTTGGTGGAAGATCATATTGGTGCTATTTTCGCATGGGGTATTATAGTTCATAACAGCTATTTACCTGGAGCGTTTACATATGCGTATGGTTTCTTACAGGTAAATTAATTTAATTTTTTAATAATATTCATTTTGCTGCAAGTTTTGCCAAGTACTACCATCAGTTGATATCTTTATACTATCGTTGGAATATTTAGACATTGTCTGTTTGTTAGCGAATATAATATATTGTAAATTTCGCTCTGTGACATAAACAACTAATTTAAATTAAATCACACTGCTTTGTTTTAGCTATTGTTGTTTCATCTTCCGTTAATATTCATATTAGCGAATGCAGTGTTCTTTAGGTAAGTAATGGTTTATTACTGTTATCTTAATGCTATTATTCAGAAAAAGATCGTGTCATGAAAATGGATTTTGTAGATTGAAGCGATGTATTGTGTAGCGATAAGACTACCAAAGAGAATTGAAGTACTATTATAAAAAATAATACCTCGATCAATAATGGGAGCTTATCGTCTATGCTTCGCCTAGCTCAGTCTCTCAAGTGTGAGTTCGTCTTGTCTTAAACTAGGAATCAAATCATGAACCCTTAGCGTGATAGCAAATAAAACAATTTTTAACTAATCATATTTATTAAAAATAGGAAACAATCAACCCTGCCAATGCTTTACAATGAATATAGTGAGGTTGATACTTATGGCATCAATTGACTGCTTGTGTGGCTTCCTAATTAAACGGTTAGGTACTCCTGAGCTGCGCAGTTGTCCCATAAAATATTCTAGGAATATCCAGTTATTCCATTAATAGTGTTTCACTAAACTGTCCATAATACAACTAATAAATTCGTGAATATGGTCAATAAACTAAAATACAACAACAGCTTGTATTAGAGACACATCAAAAGGGGTTTAAATTCCTTTCCATTTTATAAAATTACAATGAAACAAACAGCAAATGGCAAGGATAAAATGAAATATAATTATTATTACTTAATCCACAAGGAAGACAATTCCTGTAGCTGGCTATATACCACGTATCACAAAAAAGAGGTTAATCTTCGTAAATGGGTATATTTAAAAAACCCTAAAAAGGGCTACATCAATTAACACAAACGTTTTCGGAATAATAATTCCATCATCAGGTTTAAAATGCCTAAAATAAATATAAACCATTTAGTTAAAGCAAACGTGGTTTAAAATTTTGACTAAGGTTAAAAAGCAAAAATGGTTATATTTACAAGGTTCACATGCCTGAGCCACCAAAATATCAGGGTAAAAACCCTTTAAATTATATGTAGTTGTAAAAGATTGTACATAATGTTGTTATGAATATGTGATGTTAAATATTAAATTAAATTTGACTTCAGGTAACATACACCCATGGTTGAAGTGAGTTTCAGTGTCCGGAGAGTAAACCTCTTCAAACGGACTACAGCTGGTAACTGATTGACAAGATACCCATGAACGGTGTCAAAAACAAAATGTCAATGTAACATGAAACTATATTAGTTATACATAGTCTTACTACAGCCAAAAGATTCAAAAAAATTTTGATGATGTTAAAAATAATAACAGCAATCCAGGTGTTGGGATTTAAAAACTTTTTATTAATTTAATTTAGGATATAAAAGATGTGAAATTACCGATGGAGTTAAAGGTCATGTTTAAGAGAATGACATGTGCATTAGGCAACCTATGTTACTCTTTGTCGTATGGAAGGTGGTCTAAAAGTGTAATTTGTGTTAGATTAGCTTAAATATATGAAATTGTCCTTTTATGTTTATCACATCTAGAACAAGGTAAAATTGAATAGTAAATATTTGAAGCTAATATAAGACCTCGTATTTAAACGACATTGTTTAAGACTGCTCGTATGGTGAAAAAGTTAATAAAGTAAGTCTAATAAATTGAAAAAGTGGTTAGAAATCTACCGGCTGAAGAAATTAAAGTTATAACCTATGGGATTAAATTTAAAAATCTTTTTTTTATTATTATTACTTGGTTAAATTCTTTTAAGATTCCTACATGCATATAATCGAAAAACGTACTTTCGAAAGAAGTGAAGTTACGATTACGAATATTGAAAATGCTGTCAGAATTATAGAATTAAGATTATAATGAAAGTACTCAGCCTAAGAGAATGTTTTTCTTCTTCTCGTGCCACTCCTAGCGGAGATTGGAAATCATCATGGCCACTGCGACTTTGTTAGCAGCGCGCCTAAAAAGTTCAATCGAACTACACCCGAACCATTCACGTAGATTACGAAGCCACGATATTTTTCTTATTCCCACACTTCTTTTGCCCTTAATTTTGCCCTGCATGATGTTTCTTAAAAGTTCCTACTTTTCACCTCTCACAATGTGCCCGCATCTTTTGTCTAAAGTTTGGAGTGCTTGCGTGTTAGTGACGCTGTTCATCCATATGTTGAAGAGAATGTTGCAGACCATAAAATGAAGCTTATAATAATTTTTGCCTTCTTTTATAAATTTTAGAAACAGACAAAAAATTATATTCCCACTACATTAGAAAAGTTGTTTGACAGAAAGTAGGGAGACTAAATGAAGTTAGCACAGATGTCACGGTATGTAGGCCTATGATGGAATTGGCTTTTCTGTCAACATAGAACAGATAGAAAGAGAAAGAAAAGAAAAACAGATGGCGCTAACTACTTTTTGAAGAAAAAAATAGTAAAAACGAATCTGAAGGCAAAGGAATTAATAAATTAATAAAGAAATTAAAATAAAATAATTATTTAAATATATATTAAACTAAGATGTGACGTATATAATGTTAGAATTGATATAAAAAAACATCCGTAACGAGAAGTTCAAAATAAAAAGGAATAGTAGAAGCAGTATTAAAACCACTTCCCAAAGTCATTTGCCACTAACAGGGCGAAAGTCTAAAATTGTCATAACCACCTTCTTTTGTGTTTTATTATACGTTATGTTGTATTTATGAATGATATAATAGAAAATGAAATCTACTGATATTTGTATTACTTATTTTAGATTTCAAGAAGTAACACTTAAAGTAGGAAAGAAGCAATCGATAAGAAGTCGAATATGTCGGCATTTGCCTTTTACTGTAATATTTGTGATTCAAGTGATAACGGCGTACCTCTTTTGGTTGGCCTATGGTACGTTAGCATTTTTATTGGGACCTTTAAGGACGTGGTCCTTGATCTTAGCCGGAGTTTTGTATTATCATGCTATGCGTCTTCCAGAGGAATGCACAAGGTCAGTATATCCTTTAATTTATTATCATTGTAATATGATAGTTTAGTATACTTTTTCTAGTACAAATTGAAATGTAAAAACCTGATCTTTATTATGAGCTTTTGTTTTTCTTCTTCAGCTTTTGTTCTCTATCTTTTTGGTATAGATTCCCAGTTTTCTCTATTCTGAGCTGGTCGATACCAATTTAGTTCCGCTGTTATGACACAGAATTTTGGCCGAAGTATGAAGAATATTTATTTGTTAGTAAACACACATAGGTTCACCTTATAATTATCCTGCATATTAGATTTTTTCATTTTGTAAATTAAATAATAAAAAAATCCTTAACTGTCAGGGAGAAGGTGTGGTATAATGAGAGGAATTTTTAAAAATTTTATATGTATTAGAAAGATAAAATAATATCAAGTATTATTTAATGTTGAACTGGGTCAAGATTATGTAATATCGAGTAGATTAGATTAAAGGCTATAGCGGGATAAGATGGTCAAAATTGCACCATGCTCGATTTAGTTTTGGGCCTGGCCATTCGAAAGGACATAATTAAAAACTCACTCAGTTAAATTTTCAAGTCCTTAGGTGCCTCTGGGGCTTCGCTATGGGAAAAAAATGTATTTAAACAAAAACATTTTTTTTAGACGCTGTATTACTGCAAAAAATCTGAAAAAATTCATGAAAGTGTAGTTTAATATAATACTACCTTATTTTTTTCAGATTTTTAGCTTGAAAATTGAGCCAAGGTAAAATATTTGAAATTTTCAGTAATATTTTAGGTTATGTCGGAAATTTTTGGCCAACTTTAAAACAATGTTTTTTTATGGGTTTTTTTTTTTCGTTATTTCAAATGGCATAGGTATTATTATCATTTTCAACGTGGAAAATGCCTAAAAATCAAAAAAACTGCTTTTTTTGGCATTTTTCTAAAGCACCTCCACCCCTTAACAATAAATTGTATGGGCCTAGGAACAAAACAAAAAAAAATAAGTATTACATAGAAAACAAAAAATTTATTTATACTGCCATATTATAAAATAATATCAGTTTTTATAAAATAAAAAAAATATTAATAAAATAAACATAAATTAGGTTTTTTAGTGAGATGGATGACTCGTAACCTTAACAACATACATCTAAATTAGTGATAATTCATATTTTTATATGTGTTCTTAACTTTACAATCGAAACAAGGTATTAAAACTATTATTTTTTTCCTACAGCATGCTAAAAAAAACGAAAAACCCGTTTTTTCGGCGTTGTTTTTAAGCTTTCGCTATGTAACCACCAAGGTCAGTGTCTAAATGAATGGTAATTTAAATTTTCACATGTATCTTTCCCTTTACAATCAAAATCAGTTATTCAAAGCATTAGTTTTATCTCACAACTTTCTGAAAAACCGAAAAACCCCGTTTTCTTTATGTTTTTACTACATAACCTCAAAAGACTCTGAAAAATGAGTACTCAGCAGTTAAGTACATATAAAATATAAAATAAAATAAAAATAATATAAGCATGGGTATAAGGCTCTTGTATCTAAGCGGAAGAGTAAGAAATGGACGAGCATGGTACGAGCTTATGAATTTATATAACAAGGATCTCAAAAGTCATGGAACTATATAGATATGCGTTTGTGTATAAATGCATGTACATTGTGATATAATATCACGTATATATGTAGATATATTCGCTAGCTTTTAATTCCACAACTTTTGAGTGTACAAGTGCGTTCTAATTCACGATTCATTTTTCAGAGTCTTTTGAGGTTATGTAGTAAAAACATAGAGAAAACGGGGTTTTTCGGTTTTTCAGAAAGTTGTGAGATAAAACTAATGCTTTGAATAACTGATTTTGATTGTAAAGGGAAAGATACATGTGAAAATTTAAATTACCATTCATTTAGACACTGACTTTAGTGGTTATATAGCGAAAGCTTAAAAACAACGCCGAAAAAACGGGTTTTTTCGTTTTTTTTAGCATGCTGTAAGAAAAAAATAATAGTTTTAATAGCTTGTTTCGATTGTAAAGGTAAGAATACATATAAAAATATGAATTATCATTAATTTAGATGTATGTTGTTAAGGTTATGAGTCATCAATCTCACTAAAAAACCTAATTTATGTTTATTTTAATAATGTTTTTTTTATTTTATAAAAACTGATATTATTGTATAATATGGCAGTATAAATAAATTTTTTGTTTTCTATGTAATACTTATTTTTTTTGTTTTGTTCCTAGGCCCATACAATTTATTTTTTAGGGGAGGGGGTGCTTTAGAAAAATGCCAAAAAAAAAAGCAGTTTTTTTGATTTTTAGGCATTTTCCACGTTGAAAATGATAATAATACCTATGCCATTTGAAATAACGAAAAAAAAACCCATAAAAAAACATTCTTTTAAAGTTGGCCAAAAATTTCCGACATAACCTAAAATTAAACTGAAAATTTCAAATATTTTCCTTGGCTCAACTTTCAAGCTAAAAATCTAAAAAAAATCAGGTAGTATTGTATTATTAAACTACGCTTTCATAAATTTTTTCAGATTTTTTACAGCAATACAGCGTCTAAAAAAAATTTTTTTTCTTTAAATAATAATTTTTACCTGAGTGAGTTTTAATTATGTCCTTTCGAATGGCCAGGACCAAAACTAAATCGAGCATGGTGCAATTTTGACCATATTATCCCGCTATAGCCTTTAGAGAGGTGGCCTTTTGGCCTATTCCACTGCGACCTTTTTAGATCTATTGTGGTCCTCTATTGCTAGATAACATTCTCTATCCTGACCCTTTTTATAAGGTCTAGTATAGTGAAGTCGTTTTACCCTGTCCTATTTCGGATTAATGCCCGAAAAATAATTTATGACTCTAGTTACAGCCACTCTGTTATGCTTTCCCTTTTCTACCTGCTTTGTGGTACCGAACCTTCTACTGGTCGGCTGTAGTAGTTGAGGATAAATCAGCGCTACCAAAGAGAACCGCTGACTACCTTAGGCAAATCTGAACAGACACTTTTATTACTTATGCGACAGGCTAAAACGATCCTACTTTAGCTTCGAGACTGTACCTTCCATGTAGCCATTTGCCGGTGGTTTTTTATTCTCCTAATACAAAGAACCGCACATTTGCCAGACTGTCACACTGGCATAAAATGTGCTCTGCTGTTTCTTTTTCGAGGTGACAGAATCTGCACAGGTCATCATCTGATAATCCTATCAGCTTCAAGTGCCTATTCAGCTTACAGTGCCCTGTTAGAAGACCGACTTTGGCTTTGACTGTTTTCCTGTCTTTGCTTATTAGGTCTACCGTAAATTGTGGCAAATGTTCTGTAATGAACTGTTTCGCCTGTCTTTGTCCTGGTGAATTCCTCCACCATTCCAGAAATTTGTGAGCTACCCACTTCCTTGTAGCCGTTCTTGTTACTGACTTTGCAACGCCGCAGAAGGGTTCCGGTCCAATGAATGGCATTGATGAACCTTGTTTGGCCATTTCATCTGCTTTTTCATTGCCCTTATGATCCTCGTGCCCCGGTACCCAGGCTACCGTAACCTTGCTACGATCTCCTAGTTTATTTAGGGCACATACGCAATCCCATACTAGCTTAGAATTGACCTCTACAGAATTGAGTGCGTTAAACGCTGCCTGACTATCTGAGAAGATGGCAAGTGAACAGAACGTTCTTTCCTGCCTTTCTATTTCTTCCACGAAGTGATGGATTGCCATTATTTCCGCCTGGAAAACTGTCACATCCTTAGATAACTTAGACCGTGTACCAGGTAGCAGCAGCTTGTATGGTTACACCTGTATTCCAGTCTTCCCTGCCTGGTATTTTAATTGTGAACTTATTGTTAAAGCTATATCTCGTAGCTGTTGCATTGATGGGTTTCTCCATCACAATATCGGCTTTTAGCTCCTCGATTAGCTTTCTATTGTCAGTACCATGCATCTGGCTTATATGTCGCTGACCATGGATTAATCTGTTCATCACTGATCTGGCTTCGTCCTGTATAAAGATATGAAGTGGTGGTAGATTCAGCAGGACATTCAGCAGAATTCCTTTTAGCTTTCCGAATTTCTTTATTTTATAGCGTTAGCTTATACCTGTAGGCATCAGAATTTTGGTTACTTTTGGCTTTATTAAATAGGCTTCGGACTTCCGAACTTTTCTTGTTTTTTCTGGACAGTTTTCCTGGTAAGCCGCCATAAAAGCTTCGCGTATCGTTTCTGCCGCCAAATCTATAATCTTTGGGCCTTCAAACAAGATCATACTTGCCCCGAGATTTTTACTGAGGGAATCCCTATATCCTACCCAGTTTGTATCTTTAGGATTTCTGTATTTAATTTCTGATGGAAAAATATCAAGGTCAAATCGTATATGTCTGTGATCCGACTATGAAGATTCGTCAGACACAGCCCAATTTGTTATTATATCACTTATCTTGCTTGTGCAGAATGTTAAATTTAACACTTCTTTGCGCGCCTTAGTGACATAGGGCTTGCTTCCTATATTGGATATAACCAAACCTTCAGATAAGATAAAATGCAAAATAGACTCATCCCTTGCATTGATGTTTGTGTTTCCCCATATGGTATGGTGTGCGTTGGTATCACATCCTATAATGAGCTGTAATCCTTTTCCTAGACAATATGCAACTATGTCGTTTATAATGATTGGTGGACACAGAGCCTCATTACCTGGAAAGTAGCATCAGTTTCTTCTCTCCTACTTCCGTGGTTATAGTTAGAATAGCTGTAACAATATCATCGGTACAGAGCACCGGGATTAGTGTACAATCTACTCTATTACTGTGAATTATAGACGACCTTGGCCTTATACCTTTGGGTGTGTATAAAACCTTACCTTGTTTCGTTGATAGGCCAGCAATCTTCTCACCTATCCTTCAAGGCTCCTGCAGGAGGGCCACATCAATGCATTTTTGTTCCACTCTTCTAACTAGCGTTGCCGATGCGGCTTTTGCATGTTGAAGATTGGCCTGCAGGAGCCTTATTTCTCTGTTTATTGCGAAGAGATGGCCAGTTCTAGATCTGTGTACATTCCTTTTTCTGTGGGTCCGAACACACTTGGACATCAGTCCTAATATCGAGTAAGTAGTTGTACTATTATTTTCAGTTGCACACAGTTGCTGAATACCGTTGTATTCAGCAACTGTGTATGTCACAGTTGCTGAATAAGCAGCCCGTGTCTGATTGGAAGAACACACTTTGATATTAGAAAAGAATAGAATTAGAGATTAGAATAAACTAGCGCTTCGTTCATTAAAGATGTTTCATTCTCCTTTAGCTGCTTATCATTAAAAAGAACCTTACTTAGCACCACCCTCAAGGGCTAGGAAAGGTTCAACTACAACTGTACTACTCTTGATGATGATGGTAACTTGTGTAAAGTAAAAGTGAATACCAATTGTCTTCTTTATGAAAAATATATATTTTTTAATAAAATTTGTTTTTGCAGGAAAGCCGCTGAGATTTGGTGCATTCCCAATAATTGAGCCCGATTTCGACTTTAAATTGTAAAGTAAGACCCCATTTTCCTATACCTTCAAGTCTATACAATCAACAGTACCAATACCGTTGAATCCCATGATTTTGTGATATGTGATAGTGGGGTTTGATTTGTTATTGAACTTTGACCTTTTCTGTTTTTTTTTTTCTATCTTGTATATAACTTAACCCTCTAGGACTAGTAAATTCAAGCCTCACTTTGCTATTTCTGACAATTTCTTCTTATTTCTTGCACCGTTTTTCCATTCATTAATATTTAATTTCGCTACTTATGTATTATTCTACTTCATTATTTCATGCTCGTTTGGTTTTGTTCCGCCCCTGAATATCTTTTTTAGGATCTTCCGTTCTAATATCGGTTGCATTCTTTGGTCAACGTTTCGGAGTATCATGTCATCACTTCTTTCCAACGTCGATAAATATCTTTTAGAGTTCTTGTATTTGTTCTTCTTAGTTCCCTTGTGATACAAACCTAATATATTCACTTCATACTTTTCGAAGTGCCCTTGGTATTACCGTTGATCGATATTAGATTAACGCTTTTCTCCATATGTATTTTGTTAATATATTTTAATTATAGTGAAATGCCAAATAAAACATATCAAAAACACAACAACGAACCGTCCCGGCGTCCCAACGTATCTACCAATACTGGGCTTTAAACAATATCATAGAGCCTCAACAGAAAGGATGCTCTAAGGGCTCCATGGGTTGCAAAGAACAACTTATTATCGACTCGGTCATTTCTAACCAGGCATACACCAAAAAAAGGAACCTTTTTACTACCTTTATTGACTACAAGTAGGCCTTAGATTCAGTGCCGCATGAATGACAGAGATATATTGAAAATATATAAAGTCGATGATAATCTAGTGACCTTTTGTCGCATATAATGGCAGAGTGGAAAACTAAAATTTACCTTTAAATACCTGGTGAAACCAATATCGAAACTAAAGATATCCCAATTAACCGGTGCCTTTTCCAGGGGGGCCTTTTCGTTAAGTCTACTGTGGTTCTGTCTGGCGATGAACCCACTATCTCAGCTACTGAACTCCACTAACTTAGGGTTTAGCATTAAAAACAACATTGTACATGGATGATTTAAAATTAATAACTTATACTCGAAACCGCCTAGATCAGATGCTAAAAACTGTAGAAACTTTCTCAAATAATATCAGTATACATTTTGGACTAGACAAGTGCCGTATACTAAATATAGTCAGAGAAAAGGTTTAGCCCGGAGATTTCTATATGCAAGATGGCCAAAACATGGAGGCGATGAGTAAAAATGATATATACAGAGATCTCGGAGTAAAGCAAGCGCGGAAAATTGATCATAAGCAAATGAAAATCGAACTAACTTCCGAGTTCGTAAGAAGAATAAGACAACTAAATCGGTCATATCTTAATAGTAAAAATTTGTTTGAGGCATTAAATACGTACGCTTGTTCCGCGCTGAGCTACTCATTTGGTATTATTAAGTGGTCAAAAACAGATATAGAGTCTTTAGAGGAAAGTAAGAACACTTCTCACAAAGGCGCAACAACACCATCCACGCAGTGCAGTAGAGAGAAGAACATTACCGCGATATCAAGCAGGAAGAGGACTTATGGACATAGGTAAGCAACTGGATAAACATGTTTAAACTGAGGGAACAAGAAATGCGCATAAACCACCTGAATAACCAAGAAAAAATGCGCACATGGATGAGTAAGCCTCTGCATGGGCGACATCTCAATGAGATCAGCCCAGATTATCAGACATCAGAAAAGATGTTTCCAGAGGCTGAGGGTACCCTATTTGCCATTGAATATCAGGTCATTTCAACTAAAAATTACCTGAATTATATTGTTAAAGATCCTTAAGTCCTCAAAATGACGAATGCCGATATGGATGCCAGGCCCAAGAAACCATCCAATATATTACCGGGGACTGCCAGGCGTTTTTCGGTACTGATTATAAACAACGCCATGACTCAGTAGTAAAGATTATCCACCAAGAACTAACTGACATACTGGGACTTCTCCAAACCGACCATCTTCCTTATTATCAATACGTCCCTGACGGAATTCTTAAAAATGACAACTACAAGCTATAAGCGGACCGCACTGTGCTCACAGGCCAACGAGTGGCACATAATAGACCGAATCTCGTACTAGATAATAAACTTACTTGGCAAACAACACTTATTGATCTTGCGATATCTAACTCCAATAATTTGCGTTGTTAAATACAACGAAAAGAACGCCAAGTACAGAGGTTTAGAAATACAAATCAAGAGACAATCATTATCATCAACATGTATCCGTCCACTGCTGGACATAGGTCTCCCTCAGCTCTTTCCATCTGTCTCTGTCTTGGGCGGCTTGCATCCAGTTATTGCTAACACGCTTCAGGTCGTCAGTCTATCTAGTAGGTGAGCGTGCTCTGCTCAGTATTGCTTGTTGCCTTGGTCTCCACTCTAAAATACGTTTTTGTCCATCGGTTGTCTGATAATCTGGCGGCATGTCCTGCCCAATTCAATTTTATGTCCATTTTATAATACGTCTATACAATACCTATAATTCGATCTACTACTGGTGTTATTCCGAAGAACCTCTTCTTTTCTTTTTATGGTGCCCTATTCAATTAGTGATGTTGGCGACAATTCTGGCATACTCCTTTCGATCTTGTGTGGCTCTAAAGAGTGCATGGTCATCGAAGTTTGTCCAGTCCCTTATGTTTATAAGTCATAAGTATTTTTTTCTTCTGATGCCCCGTTTTGCTTCTATCTTCCCTTCTATAATAAGCTTTAAGAACTGGTACTTGGAATTTTGAAATATATGGCCCAGATAAGCAGATTTTCTTCTTTTTATTATTGGCAGCAATTCTCGTTCTCTCTTCATTCGATTTAATACTTTTTTACGACATTTGTTGTGTGATCTGTCCAGGGAATTTTAAGTAGTCTTTTAAATACCCACATTTCAAAGGCCTCCAGTCGGTTCATCACATTGGCCTTTATGGTCCAGGTTTCTACACCATATAGCAGTATGGAGTAAATGTAATATTTTACAAAGCGATATCGAGGCGTTAAGTTAGGGTTGCTGTTGCTTGGCAAGGTTCTCATATTAGTAAATGCTGTTCTGGCTTGCCCAATCCTGCTACGTATCTCTATGTCTGGATCTAGATCTTCAGTTATCCAACTACCGAGATGTCTGAACTTGGAGATCTTGGAGGTATTTCGTGTTCTACTAACCAAAATTACCTTCGTCCTTCAGTGTTCAGTCTATCTATTAGTCGTTGTAGCGCTTCTTGGCTATCAGCTATTAAGACTGTATGATCAGCTTAGCGAAGATTACTAATAGTCTGTCCGTTGATTTTGATTCTATCTTCCTTGTCACTTAAGGCTCTATCGAAAATCGTTTCATAGTAAACATGCTTGTGGTTGAAAAAAACTGAGGAGGTATTTCGGAAAAATCGGAATATCGAGTTATATCGGATATTTTACTTAGGCATGCCGCTAGTAAGCAGTTTCAGGACCTTTTTAAAAAATTTTTCATGAGGCAAATATCAGGCATTCAGTCTTCAAAAACATAATTTTTTTAAAACTTTCTTTTTTTTTCAGGAAAGCCGCCGAGATTTGGTACGTGCCATCAAATACTAGTCTTAATGAAACTAACGAAGAACTTTCCCCAATTCAAAAATCTAACTGAGCATAAGAATACTTATATATTATATTTAGATAAATATATAGGTCAAAATATTGACGTTAAAATATCATCACCAAAGAATTTCAATAGCCTATACCAAATATATTTTTGAAACATTTACGAAATTTTAATTAACAAGTTATTTAATTTATTTTATTTTTAATTAAGTTTATTTTTAATAATTTTTCATTATCTACATAGACTGACTCTAAAGTTAAAAATATTCCTAATTACTTTTTTAAATATTTTAAAGTCTTAATTATTATTCCTTCCATCTTTGTAGATTAAATCTAAGTAAATAGTGTGTTAAGTTTAGGTTTTAATATTTGATTTCATCCATATTTTGTACACTATAAGAAAATTATTATTGACTTCCTTGCTCAAAAGCGATTTTTTAATTCGTTTACCTTATAAAGTACATTTTAGAAAAATATACATTTTTCCTTTCAAGTTCGTTATGCGTCATTAATGATATCTCTGCGGTGCCACAGTATAGTCACCGGCTTAGAGTTTCTCTATGATAATACTGAAAAATTTAATTATTTTTAACTTCAGTTTTCAAAATACAATATTTAACTTTAATTTATGGAAAACAAATGCCAGGAATTGCTACTAAGTTTATAGAGTTGTTGTATTTATTTTAAAAACACCAGACGGATTTTAGTCTTGTAAATATAATTTCTATTTCCGCCCATTTCAATTTAAACCCATAGATTCAATGTTATGAATGTCTAAATCTTTGAGAGAAGCAAAAACCATCCTAAACGTATCAGAAGCCGTCTAGAATTGATTTATTTAACATTTACTTTTCGTTGATGTAATTTTTTCATCACGTACCCCTGAATAGATGAAATATTAATAGGGTAAGGTGGGGGAAGTGCGCCGCCTTTTATTCATATTTGGTTTTAATTGTATCATTGCTTCAATTGGGTTATTTCTGCCAAATCGAGAATAAGTGCATCAAGTACTTTGACAATAATCTTTATTTAGGAACGATTCCAAATCTATGGCTTTTTACGATTATTAATTATAATTTGTTTTCTTACATATCGCAGTAGCGCACTTGCCCCGTCAGTTTGGGGCAAGTGCGTCTCTCGGGCATAGTTTTATATAGTTTCCTTGCGTTGAATTACGGGGTAAGTGCATTTATTTACTATTGCACTAGGCTTTTCTGAACACAGTTCTAATTTTTTTTTTATTTTCATAATTTTGAAACCAAAATAACTTCAGAAGGATCTAATGACACACCAAAAAATGAGAGAGTACTGTATTTAAATGCAAAAATTGTACAGTTTATCTTAATTTATGTTGTATATCTTACGGAAACTTAATATTGAAATTATGCATTCCTCTCCTAACGTGTGTAGCTGGTAATACTTTAAGGACATCCTTTTGTCACAAGGGATATATCTTCCACCTGAGGAAAAACAAAGCACTTTGTTTTTTTTCCTCAGGAACTTCACCTGGGTATCACTTTCAGTGAAAGAAATCACATGGCCTATATATAAAATGTCATTTCTGTCCCGACTTTGGATTTGAAAGCCACCAGAACCCAATCTCCCACAGAAAATTCAGGCGAAAAACCAAGAAATAGTTCCTCCTCGTCATCTTCTTCTAACGAAACCTGGCCCACGAAATCGCTACCTTCAGACTCATCGTGTAGATAGATCTGATCGTCCTGGTCTTCATCACTTGAGTCTTGGAAGGTGCCTTTGTTGGCTCCGGCAGTGATCACTTCACTGCCTGCTGCAATTGGCTTCTTCTTTTTTGCTGGAGTTCTGAACATCTGAAAAACAGAGAGAAAAAATCATAAGGTTACGAGAGTAGCTCGCTAAAATTCTACGTCCATATTGTTGAAATACAATACTCACGAGTTTGTCTCGAAGGTGGCAACATCTGTCACATCTAGAGAAGTCTCTTGGCGCTGATCGCTGACGTCCGCAAAAATCTGCCATAGCCTTAAAGAAGAAGCCTCGTAAGGATCTTCGGGTACAACTTTTTCATCAAATGGAAAGATACCTCCCTTCTTAACTCCGTTTTGATAATTTATGGGTTGATTGTTGTTCATATTTTCCCAATCAGCTTAGAAAAAACTTTTTTGGGAAGTCTCCGACCAGCAAACTGTCGCTGCCACTTCACAAGTTCTTCGTCCCACATTGATTTTAAAGCTTTGAACACCGCTAAATCCAATGGCTGGAAAATGTGACTTGTATGAGCCGGTAGTTTGAGGATGGTGATTCCTTCCGATCTCGCGTAATTGACCAAATCTGCCGTGAGGTGGGTTGAATGTCCGTCGTAGATAACTAGTATAGGCCGGTCAGAGCCAATGTTTTTTACAAAAGTACGCTCAAAATAGTTGCGAAATACAACAGCTTCAATCCAGCCATTTTTAGTAGCGGCATAAGCAGTACCAGGGATGACATCATGTTCGTTGGCCATCCATTCATCCCAGATATTTTTGTCTTTAAAAACGATTAATGGAGGAATTTTTTCGCCACTAGCGCTTGCTGCCATCACCACTGTAGTGTTCTCCCTTCCCGTCCACTGGTGGTTCTTGTGCATGGTGCACCTTGCTTCCCAACAACTTTTGTTTTAGAGGGGTCACTCGAAAATCCTGTTTCATCTAAATTGTTCTCTCAGGTTTCCAGTCTTCACCTGGTCTACCATCTTTAAATTTAGTTTTTAAGTTGTTTGATTGGACGAACTGTTGGTTTAATTATAAAACTTTTTTAGAACTCTTCCACTCAATAATGTTGTTGTAATGTTGTCACAGGAATATTGTATGTGCGCGATGCTCCCTTGACAGTGAAGTTCTGATTTCTTATAGCAGTTAAGGCATTCTTAAGGGCTTCTGCTGAATATTGCGAACCTCTCTCCATCTTTCGGACCATCTCTACCTAAGAATTAAAAAACTGTATTCAGATTTTATGCCGGGGCAAGTGCGTTAAGGTAAGGACGCACTTGCCCCATGTAATAAATCTCTGGAGCAAGTGCGTACCTTTTAATTACTAGGAAACTATAGCGAAAAAGCATAAATGGTGTCGAAACAATTCAAATTTCTGCAATACTAACCGAAAATATTCAACAAGAATTAAAATCTAGTAAGCGGTACGAGCTTAACAAGACTTAGAAAAAACACTTACCTGCTCTTTATATAACCTCAAACGTAACTACCAACAAACACGTGTGCTACCATGATACAAAGAAAAGAGATCATACCTTCTTGTCGTTGTACCATGGTGTGCTACTATGTCGTGAATTCAACGACGTTGCCACTCATGTGTGTAGCTGTTTCGTTTAATACTTGGCGCTAAATTTGAAATCGTTTTCATACCCAACTTCACGTTACAAATATTTTTATTTAGTCCAAACGCACTTGTCCCACCTTACCCTAATAACCTTACATTTTTACTATTTTATGATGCCTTAGATTCTCTATTTTTCTGACAATACAGCAACGCTGTACGAAGAAGATAACTTTGATGACGTTTAACGGATTTACAAGGAAATTCCTCGATACTACACGCGATTTAATGGAACACCATTTCTAGAGAGTTTAAGAGTAATATTTATATTATTGTATTATACCAAAAAACAAGCATGTGTGTGTACATTATGAATAATGTGCTTGATAACAACCGCATTGCTATTTGTTATTTGTACTGTACGAATGAAACAAAGCCATACAACTGTTTCGGTACACAATGTTCAAAATGAATTCCGATCTCTTTTATATTAACTAGTCTGGACATGTTAACAAAAGAAAATAGTTTGTTGTCAATATCGCTGTAGAAGTGATTTACTGCAACAAGAAATTGATCACATGTAGACTGCTATAATTGTGTGTACCCTAAGCGCCAAAAAATGTTCAAGTCAAACGTTGATCGCTTGTTGCCATATTTCTGATTTTGCAGCAGAATTCGGGATAAATCAAGTTTACTGAGCAGGCCACTCACATTACAACTTACATTCCATTGGATCGCACTAAGGATGTCCCCTTAACTGCTGTCTGCCATTATTTGTCATTCCGTCTGTGTCGAGATAAGATCCGATCGATAATTTTTTTGATCTAGAATAACATTTTTTTGGAGATTAAATATAAGTCCGAAATAAAAGTATTGTAGATAAATAATATTGTTCACGAAATACACTTGCTAATATGTTAATTTTTTTTCACATCTGTCACTTACTCTTCCAATTATTCTTCCCACGTTATATTTCCCAATATATAGTACATACTTATAAGTTAATATTGTTAGAGAAATTTATTTTAAACTAACTCAGTTTCCTGGTTGAACGGTGTCGAATTTTGCTACGTCGAGCTTTCGCTTTCCTCTCTAGGTCTCTGTAATCAAGACTGGCATAGCGTCGATCTTCTGAATTCCCAGATCACTTGAGTATTGCACAGTTCTAGATCTTACAAGCACTAAGATGAACTCTAGACTAGTGTGGGAATAGCGAGCAGAACCCGACTATTGCGGAACATACTAGTGTCACACTGATATGGGTTCTAGCTCATCGGAGAAAACAGGGCAAGCAAGAGCGTATGAACTTGCCAATAGGACATATATGAAATAGATATTGCAACCATTTAGTAAACCAAACAAAAAAGAAACGATAGGGAAGTTTTAAAACTTTATTAGCCTTGAAAATACGCACGCCAAAAAAAAATTATCCTAAAAACATTTACTATTTTAATTTCATACTGAATTCAATATGAAGTATTAAAAAGACTGTTAGAAGAAAACCGTCAAATATTCCAACTATTTTACAGATGCAGAAACTAGTTTGACCCTGTTTTGCTATGAGAACGCACTGCAGACAATAAATGTTTTCAATAATGGAAAACTAACACAGTGTATACCAGTACAAAGCGGAGTGAGACAGGGTGACTCGTTGAGCCCACTTCTCTTTAATATAATAATGGACGAAATAATATAAGCAGTACGTAAAGGTCATGGCTACAGAATGGGGAACAAAGAAATCCAAATATTATGTTATGCAGACGACGCCGCATTAATCGCCGAGACAGAAGACAGCAGACAAAACCAAATGTATGACAACATCTAAACATCCACTACGGTGTAAAGTCGAAATTGATGGGAAAATAATAAAGCAGGAAGCAAGGTTTAGATATTTGGGAATAGATATAACTAGTTACGGAGATGTTGAAGAAGAAGTACGACAACAAA